CGCCGTCCGGCGCGTGGTTCATACGACCGCCTGTGCAGTGGCTTGTTGAGCCGGTCTGATCTCCTCGATCCCCGCAGTCAGATTCTCGACTTAGCGCCACAACGCCTCGATCGCGACGTCGCTCCTGTCGTCCACAGCTTCTTTCTGTTTGGGCAACGTCATGTAGGGACCGTATTGGTCTGCTAATACCAACTAACATAGCGAAAGCATAAACGATTGGGAGAATCAAAAGGAAACTTTCAATATATTTTTTATTCAATCAACTCAAAGCTCTCTCCCTCCAAAAAAAGAATAATATGAGCCTTAAATAGATCTTCATCAATCCTAAAGAAATAACTTATATCTCGAGAAAAGGACTCGGATAGATATTTTTTCTATAATTAAATATACTTCATATATACCACAACTAGAACTGGTAATAATGTAATAAACTAAAATAAAAATAAATTAATTAAACCAATGATACCAAACGACAATGTTTGTTCAGAAAAGCCAACTCAATGTTGTATCCATCATTAACTATGACAATGTTTTACTAATTGCTTAAAATAAATATATTTGCAACATAGGACTATTAAAGTGACTAGTAACTAAATTAGAAGTATTAAGCTCGTGTTAATTGAATTAACCTTTATGTTGAGCTAAATACTCGTAAAATGGTAGGTGTGAGTGAGTAGATAGAACATCCCCACCATGTGGAATTGATGAAAGTGTATAATACCAAAGTACATTTAGTCACGACATTCTTTTTTAAGCTTAATTAGCTTTCTTGAGTGGCCTTTTCCATCTTTATTACTACCGCCTATTTTTTTTAAATGTCATTCTGCATTAGTAATTACTAGTATGTAACTCGTGCGATGCACGGGCTAATACATGTTTTGGAAAATTTTAAAATATTAAAAGGTCATTAATTAATAAGTTAATATAATACGTATGACATTCATAAAGTAAACATAAAATCGTCATTGGTAAAAGGTTATACATTATTAAAAATCTCCTTATATACAACGTTATTAGTTTGATTACTGGATAACTCATCGTTCCCACAAACTAATATTTTCAATCCCTTCCTATTAGTAACACGTGAAACAGCGACGTATAACTGACCATGACTAAAAACAGGTTTTTTCAAGAGCAGTCCAACATGTGATAAAGACTGACCATGACTCTTGTTTATGGTCATGGCATAGAAAACCATAAGGGAAAATTTCCTCCGTTGGAACTTAAACGGAACCCTAACATCAGAAGGAGTTATGTTCATCCGAGGAATCAACACCTTCTCACCTGCGTGATCTCCAATCAATATCCTACATTCAAGAACATGCGGAGAGAGCTTCGTAACAACCAAACATGTGCCATTACACAGACCCATAGAATGGTTCATGTTCCGCAACAACATGACCGAAGTTCCTATCTTCAAATGCAACTCATGGTTCGGCGTTCCTGAACACTTAATACTATTCAAGAACTCGGGTGTGTGGAGATCAACCAAAAAGCCATTGCTGGAATATGACTTAGACGTACTGTCAGAGCTCAAATATGTACGACCTTCAACAGAATTCATATCCGACATGTATTGATTGATAGACTCAACGACCTCCAAAGTAGGCGCTAATATAGCTCTGTCCTTTAAATAACTTGGATCGTCAGTTGCATTTTTGAACATATAAATCATTAATCGAAATGAATGAGAGACGTCATCTCACGATAACAAATATAATAACACTAAAATTCATAATTCAACGACATGGAATGACAATAAAACATAATAAAATTAATAAAACAATAAATATATTACAAATAATAACCTTGAAGGACATGGAATAACAATGAAATTCATAATGTAAATTGAAATTCTTATCAAACCTTAAAATATCATAAATATCTCACGCTCCTTGCTAATCTTGAGGGAAAAGATCACCATTTTGAGAGAAAATCCCACCATATTTGATAACACGAGTTCTTTTGTGAAGCACAAGTTTCCATATGTTGGTTATGATATCTTTCTTCCCATGTTTAAATTCAACGACATAGTTGCTGATTGCATACACCTCGCCTTCGTTCAGTACACCTCGAAATGCTCTCATATTTGTAGAACGTATTATGCCTTTAATAAATGCACCCTACAAAATAAATTTATAAATATTAATTAAAATATTTTTTTCACAAAACAAATAAATTATTCGGAATACTAATAAAAATAAATTTATAAAATAAATTTATAAATTTGATATTACTAATAAAAATATTTACCTGTTCATCATGAAACAGTATATGGAATGCGTTCCAGCTCTCTCGTTCGTGATGCGTTTCAAATATTCGGACTGCTTTCAATCACAAATAAGGTTTGCTTGTCCTACTCACAGAATTGAGTGTATCCCATATCGGCTGCATGATATTATTGTTGAATTCAAAAATTTATCTCTATAATTTTTTTTCTCTGAACGCTGTGAATGACGTGAAGAAATAATTGTGGTAGTGAATATCCTTTTATATACGTTGGTACCGAAAAAAGTGATCCTGCCGTTGAGGATTTCTCCAATAGTACAAAAAGAAATGCCCCTTAATGTTGAGGTAACACGTTCTTGCCCCGGACCAGAGTTCGCATGAACTACACCCTGAGCTACTTTGATGAAAATTATTTAAATAAAAAGATATTATTGCGATTTTATCATATAAATGATTTATAGATTTATATGGAGGCTTAAAAATAGGAGATTTATTCCATAGTATATATCTATTGCAATCAATGTTCCATGTTATGTTAATGTAGCAAAAAAAATCGAAAATCTTGGCGTGAAATAATGATTTATTTCATAAACAATTGCTGTTAATCGAAAATAAATAAGAGCGATTTTAGGAAATTATGTATATTTTAAAGAAATATATCTATATTTTAAAGAAAAACGAATATATCTATATTTTAAAGAAAAACAAATATTTGTACGAATTTATGTAGCTTCCAAAAAATTCTCCTTATTGTACCGAAATCCAAAAAATATCATTACCATTTTTATCGGTTATTTCAAAACCAACTGATTTATAGAGTTTTTTAAAATATATTTATTAAAATAACATTGAGGGTGTATAATTATATACGGATATTTGTACCTTTAAATTAATATCAAAAAGGACGTTTGGTAAGTCAATTAATGCTTGTTTGTATGGATATTTGTATAGATATATACGGATATTTATACCTTTTTAAATTAATATAAAAAAGAAAATTATGTGCAATTAATGCTTGTTTTGTTAAATTACTATTTATAGGCAGTAATTAATGTTTTTGGCGGGAAATAGTTTCTAAAAATTAATTAAGTTAATCCTTATTATATATTAATAGATTAACAAAATAAATGTCGTTTTGAATATTTTGTACATATTTTTCTATTATTACCATCATCTAGCTAATAATTACAGTACGTCTTTTCATATTCACTCTTCATCTTTTCTCAACACATTTAGTTGTATCTTAATTAATGAGGGTTATTATTGGCAAAAAAAAAATATTCTTAATAACTGTGCAACTTCTCAAAACGACACTTATTATAAATAGGAATGAGTAGTTTTTACTATCCTTATCTTTTAAATTCTTGTTTTGAAATTTTACATTTAATTTGGAGCTTCATCTTTTTTATTTATTTTATTGAATTTCTTGTTTTAAAACTTTACATTTAATTTGGAGCTTCATCCTTTTTATATTTTTTTTATTGAATTTCTTGTTTTAAAAGTTTACATTTAATTTGGAGGTTCATCTTTTTTATTTATTTTATTGAATTTTTTGTTTTAAAAGTTTACATTTAATTTGGAGTGGACACTAATCTCTATAGGTATGTTTTTTTTTTTTTTNNNTTTTTTTTTGGACAATAATGAGTTGATTGACCCAATTATGATTCATATAAGACTACATAAGAGCTAGGTTGATAAGATTAAATTTTACATCAAAATTTTATGATTATTGTGATATTTTAATGTGACATTACCCTAATAATTAGACAGTCATATTTTATTAAATATCATACTTAAAAAAATATATAAATAAAAAATAACATTTTAAAGTATAAATATATATTTCTATTAAGATAATATTGACTAATCTCTCTTGACACTAAGCTTGTTCTACCAAAATTTGTAATGTGGGATAGAAGTGGTGATAATTTATTTTCGAGACCTTTTATATATGAGTTAATTGAATAAAAGAATATTTTTGTCTACATAGGATACATCATACATATATGGCGTGATAAATTATTATTATTATTTTTTTTTCTATTAGGTATTTAGGTGGACTGATGTTAACAAAACAACAGTTTTCGTATTTTATTTTATTTTATTTTTGGGTTTCTCAATAAATTATGAAAAACTCGTGATTTTTTTTTTAATTATTATTGGGCAAATATGTTACTTTGGGCCCAATTATGTAACGAGAAAAGGCCCACAGCTGGTGAGTGCTACGGTTGTTAAGTCGCCTTTGTGTCTAAAAATACAAACAAACTACGCCATTGCTAGGCCCCATCCACCTTTCTTCTTGCTCACAACACATGTTTGGTTTATATTGATTTATTTTTTTCTTCTTTCATTTATTTAATTTTGTTTCTAAATCACCACATGCACACATTTTTTG